TATTTTTAACTATTTTCAATATTTGAATTATTTGATATGCCTATAACTATCTCAAAATAAACATTGAGATGATATAAGCAATTTGTAGATTCGATTAGCGTACGATCGTCGAAGAATTTTTAAAGTTAGCATATTATTGAAATTTTCGAAATACTAATTTTGAATGGCGTGAGTTCTACAGAGGATCTTACTTATTTTATAGAGCATTTTAAATTTAGATAATCAAAATTTTTGTACATGTCAACAAGTTTTCTATTTTGGCTCTTGGATAACCAACGACACTCTCTATTCTAAATACACAATAATTGCAATTAGTAAATTACATATTTTAATACTGTACTTCCTAAACTTGACATATAAAAAATTATGTTAAATAAAATATGAATAGAAATTAATAAATATTTCTTGAGAAAAATAAAATAAAGAGTCAAAATAAAGTGCTTGTTGACTCTTTTTATTTAAAATGATCTCTATAATATATAAGATACTCTTTATAAATAAAGGGTTTATTGGAGATGCTCTTAGTAAATTATTTAAGTATGAATTATCCTAAAAAATGAGTATTTAGTTAATTTTTAGTCTTATTAGTAAATTTTTTAAGATCGATTTGTCCTAGAAAAAGAGTATTTTTATGATAGAAAAATGGTGACTTGAAAGAGTGGTTCTTCAAAGGAGAGAGTAGACTAAAATAGTAACAATAATTTTTTCATTATTTTCAACCAAAAATAGTATAAAGGACTTGGAATAGTATGACCCCGAATATAATGTTTAAGGATGGGAGAATTGTTTCGATTGCTCTGATCATGAACTTCAAATTAAAGGATGATTCTCTTTTAAATAAGAGGGCATATTGAGATAGTAAATATATCTTTTTGATTATTTTTAAGAAAGAAATAGCACAAAAGGCTTAGAATTGTATGACACCAAATATGTTGTTTAAGGATCAGAGAATTGCTTCGCATTTCTTTGTTGGGTTTGTCCATATATTGTATATTTGCTTTTATAAAGTAACAATTTTATAACAAAATAAAATTAGTTTTATTTTATTTCATTTATTTGATATTTAGCATGCGAATAAATTTATCAATGTTCACTTGCGACAATATAAATTGTGTGCTTGCATGAAAACACAATGTGACAAAAAATATATTTTGATAATAAATATAATTGTTCATAAATAACGTAGCAGGGTTGTTACGTTGTACTGAAAAGTTTTAGTGTTGACCGATTTACTATTTTCGATTTATCCTTATCGCATAAATTGTTTAAAAGTAACACTAGTAAATTAGGTATGTATTGATCGGATCGCTCTTGGAGTTTAATTCTATTACATGACTGTGAATAGAATTAAGTTTCAATTGATCGTCATCTGGTGTTTCATCAAATGTCCAAACATGCTTTATGATATCTTTTTGTAAGTTTAATGGTTATTTAATTTACCAATGTGTGAGATCAATTTAATTGATCAAATATTTCA